CCAAGCCTCATTTAGAATAACAAAGAACTCTTCCTCCTGCCCCAAAACTGACAATTTCGGGAGACAAATGGCACACAGAGATGGCCCACTCTGTTAGAAGGAGGAAGACAGCTATCAGTATTTTAACACTAGTAAGACTTACTATTCTTGAAGGCCATATGTCCAGGGCCAAGAAAGGAAAACACATAAACATATCAATAGATAAGGGGAATTGAAACTCTTCTCTCCAGACATTCAGACGCATCTTGACCACAGGTCAACATAGGGGGGTGGGGGCCGGAGGGACTCCGAGGGGGAGGGACCATCATGAGAAGGCAGCATTCTCCAGAAAAGACATACATGAGAGCATACTAATCAAGCATTTGTTGATATTGGCTGTTGTGGGTTTTTCGGGCTCTTTGGCAGTGTTCTGGACCGATTGAGGTGGTGGGGTTGAGGTGGAGTGGCAACAGATTGAAAAGAGACCATACCTTCCAAGCCAGAAGGAAGCGGGGGGGGGGAGAAGAACTCCTCAACAGGTGTGCAAAGGCAGCCACCAGGTAACAACAAGCAGGGCTATCAGTCATTTCAGGAGCAGGAAAGGGGATGGAAGCAATTTTTACTGGTGAGCTATAGGGTGAAATAGGAGGTAAAGGGAAGGAGAGATGTGTCAGTTCTCTGTCAAACCTGGTCATAAGCACCCACTGTGAGGTGTGTGTTTGTATGCATGCATGCATGCATGCATGCATGCATGCATGCATGCATGCATGCATGCATGCATGCATGCATGCATGCATGCATGCATGCATGCATGCATGCATGCATGCATGCATGCATGCATGCATGCATGCATGCATGCATGCATGCATGCATGCATGCATGCATGCATGCATGCATGCATGCATGCATGCATGCATGCATGCATGCATGCATGCATGCATGCATGCATGCATGCATGCATGCATGCATGCATGCATGCATTCATTCATTCATTCATTCATTCATTCATTCATTCATTCATTCATTCATTCATTCGCCATTTGGGCATAGAACCTGTTGTTAATTTATTTGAATCCCACCACTGATTAGGACTACAGCAATAGGTGTGGTCTTGCGTGTAGGAACGGACTGCCGGAGGTCTAAGGCACCATATACTCAGCAGTCAGTGTATGCTAAGGGTAGGACACAGTGGAGCTACATGTATGAACCAGAACATTCATAGTCAGGCTCCAGTTAGCCTAGGGCAGAAACCTTGACTAGAATCCTATTGGCGATTTGTACAGTTGAAACACAAGTTGTGGCAGAGAAGCATAGCTAAATATTGAAATGCCAGTGGTGTTTCTGGTGATGTGCCTTTTGCACAACCAGGAATACAACCAGCACCTTGTTAATTAGCAGCAAGTCACCACAGCAGTGCATGCACTTTCACTTCCTAATGAGGATTAAATCCCAATAGGATTTTGACATATCATTTGGGTATGTGGGTAACCTGAACATTTTGTATTTCCTGGAAGATCACAATTTCACTGTTCTCAAGCTTTTCAGCTTTTAATTTACAAATTTATATACTGTACTTATCTGCATTAAAAAAGTCCTCCAAATAGTTAGAAACTTTGTATTTGGGGATTATCCCCTTTGCTTTTAAACCCAAGGCATGTTACCATCTGAGCTTTCTAGTGGAGTGCGTAATAATAGCCATGGATGTTTTCAGTATTTTCTGTTAGCACTATCCAATATGATAGTTGATACCAGCTTGCTTGTAGTTCTCTTCTATTCTCAAATTCTGAGATTAGAGTCTGCCAATGATTTTCTTATTTATAATACGGATGTGAGAATACCATCTGCTTCAATCCAAATTATTTATTTTACAGATTGCAGGCAATCTCTCTGACCCAATGGGGAGCCTGTCCGATTTGATTTGTATCTGCATATTTTAAGCATTTATATGTATTAGCATTTTTCCAAATAATGAAAAAAAAAACATAACTGTGGGGAAAATTAAGGGCTTTGACCTGGGATGGAGAGGGAGGTGAAACCTTGTTATCAGCTACAGCTTGACCTCCACTGTGCAAGCAAACCTCCTATCAATTTCCTTCCTTCCTCCACTAAAACTGTGCAGTTTACTCTTTAACCAGCTCCTGCCCTTGCAAGAGTCCATCCTGTATTGGGTGGGCCAGCTGTCAGTCACCTCTGGATCTGATGAAATGAAAGCCATTGCTCTGGATTAATCTCTGAAGCAAAATTTGGATGCCTCAGAGAGTCCCAATTCAATTCAAATACATACTGCAGGCTTCCTTGTTGTGCTTCAGATCAGTTTGGAAACAGACAAAATACCCTCACTTTTTTGTATTTGCCAAATCGATTCTAAGTCTCTAATTTATCTCTAACCTGTAATATTTTATTTTATCATCACTGACCTTGTACAGTGTTTGGTTTCTAAAGGTAATGTGAAAAAACATCCGATAGAGTGTTTATCCTTAAGCCCATGACCACCTTTTGCCATTCATGAGAGGGAGGAAAGTAGAATGGGACGTATGCTGCACAGTTAGATATAGTTCTGTATTTATTTATTTGTTTGAATGTAGGCTATGTTCTTTCATCTTTCTACATTTTTCTGCTGCAGGAGGTGGTGGGATAATCGATTCTTAGAGGAATGCTGTGAGCACAAACAAAGTAAGGCTCTTGACAATAATTTAAATTGCTACTTATACACAACTTGCCAATTACTAGGATAATCTGCTCTTGGAGTGCTGAGAGCTGGAACTGTTGCAGTGACTCTCCATGTGTAAGGTAGTTTTCCTGTCCCCACTGTACAGAAACCTCTCCCTTTAAAAAGTGTTTGTATTTTTATCCTGCTTTTTAAGCAGGATAAAAATTAGAAAGCATGTTTATGAGTATTGTGGCAACAGCTCTCCCCCAACTTCCTCATCTTGGTGTGTGCCACCACTAAAATGGCAACCATCTCCAAGCTGGTTCACGATGTTTGGAGTT